AGAAGAAGAAGAAGAAGATGGTCTGCTTAAGAAAAACAACACAAAAACAAGTGCAGCGGAAGAAGCTGCTGCTGCTGCAAAAGCTGCAGCTGCTGCAGCTTCTGATGTAGCCCGTACAAGCCAGCAGATGTTGATATCAAAAACTGAAGGTGGGCTTGTAATGGACTCCTGCCTATGTTTCCTGGATTAATACCATTTCATATTTCCTATTCTATAGTGTTTTAATTGCTCTTGAAAGCGACTCTTAATTAGTACTCATGTTTGTCATTATTCACATTCTTGGCAGAGAAGAGATGCTTTGAGGAGCTTATCAATATGTTAAATGCACAAGTTCGTGAGATGAAGTCAATGAGTAATGCCATGCAGAAACTGGAAGGTTAGTAAAGAAATTGCTTTCTGTGCATGTGTTTGAAATTTTTGTTTATGTGCTTTTTACCCCCATGTCGGGATTTGACTTATTTTATTGCCTACCTAAAGTCAAGTAGCGTGCAGATGTGTAGACAGTTATCAAGAATTAACTGGATACATCACTCGAGAGCTCACTTCCTTCAGTGGCCTTTTGTCATTTGTGTTTGTTCAACATTCTTTGCAAATTGGAATTTTTCCCCAATATAGTTGACATCAATGTGTTTCTTTTGAGGCCTTTCATGTTTCTATCAATTGGCCTAGTGAAAAACAATGATTCATTAAGCAGATGATACTAAACTCTATGCCTAACTCATCAAGCACCCTTTTTTGTGGACCATGTGTCCTAAGCACATGTTTGTCTTGACCCTTATTTTTCTTTTTGGAACTTCATGATTCCTATTCTCTCTCCTTCTCTTCCCACTTCAGTCTAAAAAAATTATTTGAATGCCTATGGATAAACTTTCTTTTCTGGGATGGGAATAAATATTTGATTTGAATTTGTGATTCAGTGTAATTTAAATTATTTGAAAAAGATAAGAGATAAAGGCACACGGCATCTTCTTCGCTGGACAGAGAATGAGCTGCATCATGCTAGCATGTAGCTAAGTAATTGCGACCGAAGCCAAGAACCATTCGCATCCTCTTTTTATCTACCTTTTTTTCGTGTGTGTGTAGCATGATTCTTGATTTATTTCTATCGTCTTCTTCACATCAGTGTTTTTTTCCATGGAATGTCTCATCAATGAATTTCTGCTAAGTGGTCCATTTTCTGTGTTAATATCAGGGCAGAGTACCGTGCATGGAAGAATTTCTGTTGAACAAGATGATCAAAGGGTCTCACAGAGGAGTTCAAGGGTGAGTTGATTATCATTTATCAGCATAAAAGTTTTCCTGTGTTTTATGAAAATATTTGAATTTAAGTTTTATGAACAAGTCTTCCTGTTGTTTTATTCCATATTTTTCATTGTTTTCCAGGTACCTTATGTCAATGGCAAGATGAATGACGATCCACATTCAGGTATATTTTTCAATCAATTGCTGATTCTTCTTGTTCAGATTTTACTTGCTCCTTAATCTTCATGATGTCTTGAATATTCTTTAATCAGTGAGATCTTTGTCTCCGCCCGCTTCTGTGGAACCATCTGTTGCTCCACACCCAAAATCATATATGGAGGTAAATATTTCACTCCTAGTTTCTACCTGAAGTTTTCTAGAGAAGAAGATTTTACGTGTTCGTGATCATGAATTTCCCTAATAAACAGAACGATTTTACAGATAATGGCTATGATTCAGAGAGGGGAGAAGCCATCCAACATTAGAGTTAGTCCACTCCATTAACCTAGTAGTTTGACATTTCTTGGTTATGGTTTTGAAATTTTCATGTTTATTATCTTGTCTCAGGAGATCAATGATGCACCTCCAAATCCTAATCAACCAGTATCAAATCCTCGTTTAGCACCAAGGGCTAAGGTTCGTCTTTTAACATTGCCATTTGTCTTGTTTTTCCAATTCTTTTGGCTTCTAGTTTGGCTATTTTGTTCAACCAGTCAATCATTCTTTTGAACATTACTTCCCGCCACTAATCTTCTGGAATAATTATAAAAGAAAAGAGAAGTTTGTTTAATTTATTGGGCAGGACTAGGGATACGAGTAAAAATTTATTTCTTTACCAGTTTTTTGAGTTTGCCTCGTTGACTGATAAATGATGTACATCATCCTGTCCTGTGAACAGCCTTGGGAGGTTGGTCAAGCTCAGAACAGCTCCAGCAATGCTCTTCAGTTACAAGGAAGTGGTGATGCCTTATATCGCGAGTTCCGTGAAAATCAGTCAATTGCAGACAATAAAGTGCCTCGGTGGGAACAGAAAAATGACCGGATCACTGAAATTGAAGCAGGTGATGAAGAGAGGTTTGGATATTCCAATGTAGTTAGCAATGAGCGCCCACTTAAGAGGTCGTGGGTTCCTCCCCAGCCACCACCTGTAGGTATGCAAGAAGCAGCTGCAGCCATTCGTCAGCCGAAGAAGACATTTCATTCAAATGAACAATTGACTGATGACCAATTGATGGCTCGTTCTTCAGATGTAACGGATGAGTTGCACCGGATCACGAGAATCTCTGAATCAGGTGGAGTAGTGAATGCCAATGGAGGAAGTTCAGAGCTTAACTCCAGTGAGATGCAGAGAGAAGAAGACAACTCGCATTTTGAAACATGATTAACTGAGTGACACTATTTTGCATTGATATCGGGTACATATGTCACTTGGTAATACATATTACAACAATAATCGAAGAGATCGCGAAAAAATGTTATGTTGATCTGTGCATTTGTATTGTTTAGTCGGAGAAGATCAAATACACTATGGAAGTGATCTAAAGTAACTTGAGATTATATATGTTGGTAAAA